GTCTGGCGGGCCGGATTTGGCCCGCGGGCCTTGTGTTTGACAACCCTGATCTATACGGTTCCTTCTAGCTCTGCAGTTCTAAGATTATTATTTAAGTGGAGAGGTAAGTGTTCCAGTGCTAGAGGCATTAAAGGAAAGATTGGACAAACATCTCTCAGATTTGCTTTGATTTGGATTTCTGCACTGAGCAGAGGGTTGGACCCAATTACCATATAGGCCCCTTCCAACTCAAATTACCTACAATCCTATAAGATACAACTGAATGCACACTGTCGAAAAATGAAACTCTGGGAAACATATCTTAAAGCCTAACCAGAAACAACCAATTAATCAGGTACCACCACTCAATCTACACACTAGGAGCAATCTTCCTTGTAAACATTTGTTTTACTTGCCATTTTGCACATGTATCACAGAACATGGAATTAACAGTTGATATAGCAAGGCCCCTATGTCAGCACAAGCATATTCTCAGGATATCATAGCTTTCAGTACTCAGAAATCACTGCTGCCAGCATAACAAATCTTTATATTATCGGAACAAAAGCATATATACCCTGACAAAAATTCATTCATAATCAATACGTAGGATAAAATTCAGTTGCAGTTACTCAGAACATGTAATTTTTAGCAATGAATTGCTGTAAATTAAGGAATTACTATAGGCATGCAAGAGATAATACATGAAATTTCTTAATTTACAACAATTTGCTGCTACAGGTTACATATTTTTTGCATAACTGCACAGGATTTGTGCAATAGTGAAAATATAATTATTTTAATTAAATGCATGACTTCATTGCAACTTATTTAGTAACCTTATTCTAAATAGTAAATGCAAGTATTATTAAGTTTATTTGATTTATTTATTTATTATACTTTATATATTACTTAAGTTATTGTACTTTGCATATTACCTTGATTGTTTTGTCCATATCTCCATAACACAAAGAGTTGAGAGAGATCTTAAACGGCCTCCAGACAGGATTTAAATTATTTTTAATAACCTAAATAGACACAGAACAACTTTTAGAACTATTGCCATGACTTTTTGATTGTTTTCATGATATTTGGCAACTTCTGCTGTTCTGCAGTTCAGATAGCTATTAGTAATATCAACCAGAAGAGTTGTAAGCTTATTGCTATACGACAATAGATTATCTGGTATCCAGCAGATTTGGAAAGGTGCTATCTTTTAAATTCTAGTGGTACATCTTTTGAAAATAAAACGGACGATATCGGTATAGGTTGTGAGTCAAGTTACTCGAGCACACCAAAGAGTAAAGACATGCCCTTACTTCTGTTCTGTGCACCATCACCCAGTTTCCTTCAGAGGTCTGTTTGTGGAACTCCAAATAAGGATCAGATTTTCCAAAAAAGTCCTAGAATAAAAGATAGGTTATTACTTCAAAATTATTTTCGGAGGGAAACTTTTCGACAAAGACAATTTCATATTACTTCCTGCTGAAAGCCACACCTTGCATCCCAGGTCTAGCCTCCTCCTTCCCCCCTTAACTGCAACACTACACAGGTGTGGTTTGCCTCAGAGCAATACAAGACCTTTGTTGGTAAATCTAGGTAATGCCATGCAACCTCTGTTTGAAAACCTCAAGTGAAGAGGAGTCCAGCACCTGCTGAGCAGGTACCTTCTACTGTTGAAACACTCTTATCAGGAAGTTCTTCCAAAGCTTTAGTCAAAACCTTTCCTGCAGGTATGAATCCACTGGCTCAGATCCAACTCTCTAGAGCAACAACAAAATTGGCTGCACTGTCTTCCACAGGGTGGATTAAAATCGATGATTTAAACAAAATTTAAAAATTGACTGAATTGAATTTATTACGGTCGGGTGACCAGCTCAAAAATCGATTTTAAAAATTTAAATTGAATTTCTTTTAATGAAATGCTTTTGGAGGAAATATCTATCTATGGATAGTTTACTATTTAAGATACATTATATTTCAAAGGTTATTCAGCATGAAATAGAGCTTAGTTATGTAGCATGAAACTGTGTATTCATGCAATATTTATATCATCATCATTTATTTATTTATTTGATTTATATACTGCCCATCTGGCATCCAGTGCCACTCTGGGCGGTTTACAACAGATGAACAAACAACAGAATAACAAAATAATACAATATCACTACCATTGGGGCATAAATAAAATATCAAGTGCACTGAAAACAAATACAATAAATTACAATTAATAATATATTATATAAAAGACAAGAAGCAAGGCGGTGTGATGGATGATATTTTAGCAAACACTGTTGTATCATATAGTTGTTTGTTCAGGGAAGGCCTGCTTAAATTGACAGGTTTTTACCAGCTTCCTAAATGTCCCCAGTGAAGGGGCCAGGCGGACTTCAGGCGGAAGAGAGTTCCATAATTGTGGAGCTACCGCCAAGAAGGCCTGATTTCTATTAGTTTTCCGGGCCCCTCTCAGGGTCATAACTCTCAACTGCACTGCCTGGGATGACCTTATAGGGCCAGCAGATCTAACTGGAAGGAGGCGCTCGGCCAGATATCAAGGTCTCAAACTGTTTAGAGCCTTATAGGTTAGTACCATTACCTTGAAACTGGTACGGAAGTGAACAGGAAGCCAGTGTAAGGCAGCCAGGGTGGGGGAGATGTGTTGGTATTTCCTTGTCCCACTCAGTAATCTGGCAGCCACATTCTGGACCCGTTACAATCTCCGTAGCAGTCCCAAGGGCAGCCCCAAGTATTGCAGTAGTCTAGTCTCGAAACTACCAGTGCATGAACCAGCGTGGTGAGGGAC